GKTYMAATATCGGTTAAAAAAAAAACCAATACCAATAAAACCGATATTACCAATATCGGCCGATAATCGATATCGGTTTGTATATTGGCCCAGTCCTATTATTTATTTATATGAATCTTTTAAACAATTTAATAAAAATACAATTGATACCTTAAATTCGATATAGACTGTGATTATTACTACTATAATCATTGTTAAACTAAGCAATAGTAGTTAGTACATAATAATTATTATTATTCAGTGATATAACTTATAATTTTATGTTTTAAAATATAATATTACTCTATAATTATACTATAATTTAACATTGAAAAAATATGTCTACAATATTTAATAATTGTATTACAACAGTTATATGCTGCCCCAAACTTCCTATTGAATGCAATGCAACTATGTTAATCCAGCTCTGTGTATTTCTTTGTGTCCAATGTGATATATAAACAGTCAAATAATTATATCAAATTAAACCTTATGTTTTTGTTTATTTAAGTAATAATATATATGTATTTAACCTATGAAATGTATTTTTAAGATTTTGTTTTATTTGTGCACAATGAAATTGATAAAAATTGATAGTTAATATATTTTAATTTATGTTATAATACTCAATCCACTCTAAATACTCTAATGTGGTCATGTCTTGAAAAAGACCATCATCTTAAAGTTAATCAATTCAAAACGTCAAAATATATTAAAATATATTATTATATAATATTTATAATTATTATGAATTTAACATACCTACCATTTCTCAAATTTTTATTGAATTCATATCCCATCTTATTGATTGTTATTAAATTAATTATGATTTCAGACAAAATTTTCAACAAACAAACAAAAAATATCATTTAGTGATGATATGACTCCAAGGTCTTCAATAAGATTTAGTTTACCTAATAATACTGACACTATGGTTGAAAGGTGCGTTATTATTTTGTTTATTTATTATTTTATATTAACTTTTAAAGTTATTAAAGAAATCAAATCGCTAGAAAAATTGTTTAATAAATATTTTTTGAAACATTGAGCAAATATTGTTGTGTTCACAATCATAAAAATCATTAAGAGCAATGAGAACTTGTGAACATCACTACAACTGCTGATTATTTTATCATTGAATACTCAATTATTTCAAAAAAATTTCACATGATTTCTAGTCATTAAAAACAAAATTAATATATATATATTATCCTGAAAATTGTTTAAGTTTTTATTTCTCGAATGACATCATTCATTTCATATATTATAGCTGAACAATTTTCTAATTATTTTGAAATATAAAATCGCATTTGAACAAATAATTTATGAGATAAATACTTAAAGTATTTAAAGTTTAGATAAGAAGGGTAGAGTTACTCATAAAAATTTGGTCCACAACCTTTTAATACTTATAAGTTATAACTCATTGAATACACATCCTAAATTCAATTTTTATACATATTCATACTCAGAATAATATTCTGCTTTTGATGATGATGATAAAGTTAAAACTGTATGTTGTAATTAAAAAAAAAAAGTAAATTATTTGAAACCATTTCAAATATTTTCAAAAGCGCAATACCTTTTGAATAATGAGTATCCCACATTAAATTAATCAATGAGTAAACAAATATTCTTCAGTCATAGTATTTAAAAAAATTTCAAACCGTATCATTTACAACATGTTATAGCATATGACTATAATAACTTTTAAAATCATTTGCTAAGTTTTTCATCAATTAAATATTTTTCAATCTTTTTGTTTAGGGTTGATTCCAAAAAAGTGGTTAATGTACTACAGACTGATAATCCTGAAAATGAAAGCTTTTACAGTGTTGATAGCAATGACAACAATGATTTACCAAATCAAATTATTCCTGAACAAATACCATTAACTTTCCAGGAGACACTCAAAAGTAATTCTAAAATGAATAATAGTGATGAATATGAAAAAATGGATATTTCTGAGGAAAATTCATGTTCTGAACATGAACAAATTGATATAGATGATGATATGTCTGAAAATGAATTGGAAAATGAAAAAACGGTTTCAAGTTTATCAGATGATGATTGTGTTATCTTAACATCTGAAGAAGAGGATGATAAAAATGTTCCTAAAAATTCAAGTTTAACTTTGAAAGAAGACATCTCACCTTTGACTCCAAAATCAGTTACAATAGAAGAGAAGAAAAAATTGAATCCTAATTTTGCGACCTTGACTACTGTAGGTGTTGATAATAATAGTCTAATTCCTAATATCCATGAGAATATTAATAAAAATGAAAAACCACTAGTTAGTGATGTTTCTACTGACTGTTTAAAACTGGACACAAATTCTAATGATCAACTTCCTGTAAAAAAAAGTAAAGTTATTGATTTGATTTTGTTGGATTCAGATGAAGATGAAAGTGATGTTTTATCTGAATGCTCATCAAGTAAAAAAACATCAGATGGCAGTATCATATCAGAAGAAAGTGATTTAGAAAACACAAGATATGGTAGATTTAAATCTCAAACAAAACAAGGCACTGAAGATAGTAATGACGAGGAAGTTGGTGGATATACTGAAGAAGAAGATGATTTCGGAGAATGCGAAATTGAAGAAGATGAAATTGGAGAAAGTGAAATTGGAGAAAGCGAAATTGGAGAAAGTGAAATTGGAGAAAGTGAAATTGGAGAAAGCGAAATTGGAGAAAGCGAGATTGAAGAAGAAGGTGAAGAGTTAGATTTTTCAGAATCATATGATAGAGACTCAGAAGAATCTGAAAGTGAACTAAGCCCTAAACAATGTGAAAACAAATGGCAAACAGAAGATGACTCAGAACTAAATAGTGAAGTAAGCGAAGAAAGTAATTCAGAACATTCTTCCATAAACAGTTTAGATCAACAAAATGTTAATTTTGATGAAAATGACGAAGAGAATAAAATAGAAAACTGCCGCATAACATGTTTCAGTTCTGTGGATAAGCATAAAAGATGTGACAATGATAATAATAAGAATAAGTCAAGCCATATTGAATTTATCAATCTAGATGAAGATGATGATTTAGAAAATCAAGAAGATTTAGAATGTGTTGATAATAAAGAACATCAGTCAGAAAAACTCACAGATAAACCGTATGATGAAAATGAAGACAATTTAGATGAATCAGATGATGTAAGTGACGAAAACTATTCAGATGAATCAGATATCATAATTGATGATGAAAGTGAYGAAAATAATTCAGAAGAACCATTTGTTACACTTGAAGTTGAAAATAAAGATGTTGTAGAAGTTCAAAATGTCGTACCCGACGATGCAAAAGAAGAATCAAATAGCATACTTGTTGGTGAAAATAATGAAAATTTACAAGTACCTGATGTCATAATTAATGATGATACAAGTGGGCAAAACAGTGAAGAAGAATTACATTCCATACTTGAAGATGCAAGTGAAGAAAACAGTTCAGAAGAACCAGATGTTTTACTGGATGTTGTTGCAAATGAAGAAAACAGTTCAGAAGAACTTGATGTTGCAAATGATGAAAATCATTTAGAAGAAACAGGTATTTTACTTGACATTGCAAGTGAAAAAAATAATTCAGAAGAACTTGATGTTGCGAGTGATKWAAACAATTCAGAGGATCCAGGTGCCTTACTTTACGTTGCAAGTGAAAAAAATAATACAGAAGTACTTGATGTTTCGAGTGATGAAAACAATTCAGAAGAAGCTGGTGTCTTACTTGATGTTCCAAGTGAAGAAAATAATTCAGAAGTACTTGAAAATGAAAGTGAACAGAATAGTTCTGAAGAATCAAATGTGATTCTGAATGATAATAATGCTGAAAATAATTTGAAATTGTTCAAAACTCTAAAAAATGAGGAAACACCGGAAAAGAATGAATTAGTTGACAGTGATAAAATATTATATCCCATTGATTCACAATCCAATTCATTAGAAAATCACGCACATAATTTGTATGTCACTAAAGAGACTAATTCAAATGAAAACAATCAGATATGTTATGAAGAAAATAAAAATTCACATACTATTATAATCGGCGATGACAAAACTAATGATTCATGTGAGAAAGAAGACAAAGATGTTATTGAAATTGTTGAAAATACAGATCAGGTAAGTGATCCTATTAATCTCCATGACATTGAAAACAATGAAGATAATTTATATAATGACCACAATGAAGATAGCCAGTCTGAGTATTTGTCTCCTAATAATGATCATTCTTTTGAGATGTTAAGAGACGAGTGTAACCCCATACCTGATGATGGTTTTAATCATCTTACTATGAATGGAGTTGAAGCAGATCAGCTAGAAATGGAAGTTAATCAATCTACTCCATTTATGTTTGGGGAATCATTTTTTGGTCAACAAGAAATTCCTGAGAACAAGCCCATGCTTCTGTTTGGTCATTTATATTGTTCTGAAAATGAACAACTAAATGTAAATATACAAACTGATAAACTTGAAACCCAAGAGTCAATTGTTATTAACAATGTAGTTGAGAACACTAATACAGAACCAGAAATTGAAGTAGAGGGTGAAATTCAAGATATATTAGAGCTAGAATCCTTACCTGAAAGTAATCCAGATGACAATATTGATACACAGAATAATACAGAATCTAATAATTTTCAACTGGAGTCTAAACAAATTAATAAAATATTGTATAGCAATGAAAAAACTGTCTTGTTAGATGATTCCCATCTTCAAAAACCTATTTATTTTGGAAACAGTGATTCCACACAAGAATTTGAAAATAAAGAGCAAACTTCTAGTACAAATATCGATTTACCAAAAAAATCTCTTGAACTGAAAAATAAAGATTTGACAAATGATGAATGTTGTGACTTACTTAAGACAAAACAAATAAAYTCTTCTTTACCCCATGAATCAGAAGAAAAAATATTAAAAACAGATAATATTCTCCCTAATATGGTTGAAAACTATACTACAAATTCTGTAAGTACAATGGAATCTGAAATATCATCTTGTGTTGTTGTAGATGATGAAAAAATCTGTTTTAAGTCTCAAAGAAGCATTTCAACAACTGAACCGAGGCAATCAGTGGATGTMATCGATATACAAGATGCTGATGAAGTTCATTCTAAATCTGATTCATCTGTTGTGTCTTGTTCATCAAATATTGATCAATTCAATGATTTCGGTGTTAATGATCAGTTATTAAAAAATCAAAATATTGATGAAAACATCAGCTCTAGTTCAAATAATGAAGAATCAGGATCTCATCAAATAGTCAAGTCTGTACAAAAATGCATTGAATTAGAAACAACTACAATTAAAGCTGTTGGTCCAAAATGCCCAAATAATTCAGATAATATTCAAAATGATGCAAATGAAAATAAAACAAATTTAGTGGAAAATCTTGCAGAATTAGATAAAAGTCAAAATAAAMGCATTCTGGATATTCCACAGTTTGAAAATTATAGTTTGCGTTCATCTTCAAGAAAAAGTATTACAAAAACAAAAGAATGTTTATTAGATGTTCCTTCCACAACAGAACAAATATTAACCCGCAATAAAAAGAAACTATTGTCTGAACCAATCCAAGAAAATAAAACAAGTACGTCAATTGTTATTGACCAAACAAAGAAAGCCAAATCCATTCCATCGGTAGACACTATAACAATAACAACAAGGTCAAGAGCTAAAAGTGTACCCAAACAAGTAAAATTAGAAACGATTTCTTCAAATATTTTCCGTAGTTCTGGAATGGTTGAAGATAATAGTAGACAAGTAAGGGTGTCATTATCAAAAAAGAGATCAAAAAGTCAGGAAAACATTTCATCAATAAAACGTAGAAGTGGGCGATCAAAATCTTTAGCTCCTGTAGAAGAATCAGTATCTATTAACAGAAAAACTGTGTTTGGCTTAGAGAAAATACCTGAAGAAGATAGTTTAAATGTAGATACAGATATCATTAAAACTAGACATACAGCATTAAAAAGAAAATCAAAATTCAATTTCTTATCTAATTCATCAAAAAAAATAGAAAATGATAGTGTAAGCTCAAAATGCCAACAAGATACAAAACCGAGAACTCCACAAAGATCTAAATCACTCCAACCAGACCCTGTTCTAACATTTTCTGTCGTGAAAACAAAACCAAAACGAAGTTCAAGTGTAAATATGTTAATTTCAAATGATGAAATTCCTACTGAAAAGGGTGACTTAATGGGAGTTTTAAAAAAAGCATTAAATTCATCAGAAAAAATAAGAAAACGCTCGGTAACCGAGTCACTCAAGAGCAGAAAAAAACAAAAAATCCAAAATCAAGTTGAGGAAGAAAAAATTGAAATAGCTGAATCTAAATATAATTCAAATGATGAGTCTAATCAAAGTAATCAAAATTCTAATTCCTCTTATTCTTCTGAACAATTATCACCTATTGCTGGGAACATTTCTCAGCATATGTTGTATACTCCAGCTAAAAAACGAACTAAAATACGTATGACTAACTTGGATTCTGAAAATGAAGATTCTTCTTCAGATGAATCAACAGATTCTAATCACGTTATGACAAGATCAATGATTCAAAATTCTAGCATTGTAGAATTAGATTCTCTGAAGAATGAATTAAGACCATCGGTTAAATCAAAATTATCTATCAACCGGCATAGAAAATCATCTGTTAGCAACATAACCGAAATTAAAACTCCAAAGAAACCAGCTTCGCTTGTATTTGAAAGGGATGAACCATTGTCTAAGCGCAAAGCCAAAAATATAAAGGTAAGTGTTTCTAAATTTGTCAATATCTGTAATAATAGTAACTTTTCAAAATGTGACGTGATCTCAAATACCTTTCTTGACTTTGAGACAGTAAATGATGCTCAATGCTCATTTTACTTATTTTTACTAAATTGTCATTTTTAAGAACCAATATCTCTCATAAGTAATTAACATCCAACATTGAAATATTTTCAATAATTTTATAATTATTATAATTTGTATTATGTTTTTATTGTCTACAGTCTGTTAGAAATATYTGTAATAAAGCAAATTTATGAGAATTAACCTCCAAGCATTATTTATCATCAATTTAGCTTATCAATTAACGTTTATATCTTTATTTATTTAAGGAAAAAATTGTTCATGCGACAATAGAACCATCAATTGAAGCTCCTTCTACTTCGGAAAGACGTATGACACGTTTTCAACAATCAATATTAGATAAATCATTACAATCCACATCTGTTATTGGGTAAGAAGTTTTATCATACTATCCTAATAAAATTACACGAATAATTAATAAAATAAAAGTAAAAATTATTATTTACCTATTAGGCTATAATTATTATACAACCTTAATATTTTCTATACCTTTATGGTTCAATTAATATAATAAAATTTATCTTTATCTATAATTGAAATAATTTTTAGTAGTAATAATATAATAGCCTGTAGTAATCATATTATTTTAATTAAGGTGCATTTCGTTTTTTTTTTTTTGGTCAACTTATAACTTTTAGACAGGATATTATAAAGAATATTTTTCTTAAAAAAAATAATATAAAATGTGGCTTTTATAGGATTAAACTAAGTCATTTAGTATAAATATAATCTTCTAAACAAAGAAGATTCATCAATTGTTTACCATTCTTTAAACTAGAAATTATATTTTTGACATAAAGTTTAAAGATGCAGGGTCCGACCCATAGGCGCCAGCAGGGGGGTGCAAGCTGGGGCATTTCCCCCCTAATTATAATATTTATCCTCAAATCCTTACATTGCCCCCCCCCCTAATAAAATTTCTGCGGGCTCCTATGGTCCGACCACAAACCTCCCGTATTTCAAAAAACMGTTACAAATTAAAAAACAAAGATATAGAAAATTCTTTTATTTTTGAATTACAAATGTKCCATTTTTAGTATGTGGAATCTGAAGATTTCTGTGCAGGATTCTTCTTGCACTTCTATGAGAAAGTCTCAGGGCAGCTATATGTTTAACTGCTAAATACCTTGAAGATTGCTAATTGGACACCCCCACAAATGCCATTTAAAATACAGAACCATCATTAGTAATTGATTCATTACCAATATAAACATCTACAATAGTAATGTAATGTATATTCGAATAATCGAATTATTTGAATCTTCGAACATTCGAATAATCAGTATTCGATGCTACAATACCTGATTTGTTTTATCTGTTTTTCCATGGCAAGCTTTTTATATTATTTATTATTAATAACTAATTCATATCTACACAACTAAAGATAATGTATGTCAATGATTAATCGACCTAAATACGAAAAATAGTTCTTATCTTACCTGTTTGTAGTTACCATTTATTTAATTATTATTTTTTTTTTGTAACTTATAGATTATTATTAATAATAATTT